ATCAACCCTGAGCGATCCTTCGCTAAGTCCCACTTGGGATATGCCTTACCGTAAGTTGATTGACTGCCCGTCGCTTGTTCAGTTTGTTGGAACACTTGATGGGCACAAGGGTTGCCTATTTGTATCACCCTACTACTGCATAGTTCATCTCACTTGGGAAGGGCTACAAGCACTCTGGTCTCGGGGGTTATGGGCGCGCTCGCTCACCCGCTATGCAACAAGCCTGTTTATCTCAGTCCCAGTGGTTAGCGGCCGGAATACATTACTACCGTACAATCAACATCAACAAAGCATATAAACTCCTACAGAATTTTGTTTCAAGTAACCCATCCTAACAAAAGTCAGCCATAGTAGTCACCTTTCAATTTCGCTCCAAATTCTCCGAAGTTCCCCTACTACTTCCCTCATTTCAGGGCGTGCATCCAACGTGGGGAATGTGGCTGATCGAGCCACATGAATGATTTGAAGAACATGCTCCTTTTTCCACTGCCCCTCCATAGTATAGTCTGCAACCAACAAAGGATTTTTTAAATCCTTCTTTCTGACCACATTCTTCAGACCTTGGTACTCCTCTTCGTGGGGAGGGTAGCCGAACACTAGCTCCAAAAGAAACACACCAAACGAGTAGGTGTCAGATTTCGGGTATAATTGCCCGTCTGAAAATAGGCCGGGTCGGTGTAGTAGACCCACGTGCCTGCCATCCGTGTTGACACGTGTGTTCTCGTGTCCTCCAATGAACGAGCCAAATCAAAGTCGGCCACGATTGGAGTGCGATCCTGTGAGTAACAGGTTACACTAACATACGGTAAGAAAAAGGGGGAAATGGAAATCATATGCCAATGAAACTCAAATGGGACGGGCTGAAATATCACATGTTGCTGCTGATACAGATTTAGCATGTGTTGTAGCGCATGCAATTTAGCTGAAAGTCGGTCTATATGTCATGCTCGGGGATAGAAGTATTATAAACACACACAAAAAGCGAGCAGAAGAAATACACACACGTATTCTGGACCAATCCCGCAGTACCTCTCGCAGAAGCACATTTGACGACTTGAAATCGCGGTGAATGATCCCCTTTTTATGACTGTAAGCTAGCGCCTCGGCACACCCCAGCGCAACCATCACACGCTCCTTCCACGGAAACTGATCTTCGTTCCTGCGGACTGGAGGGGGGAAGGCGAGGGGGAGAGTGGGGAAAGGGGGGAGAGTGGGGATAGGGGAAAAAGTGGATGCATGAATCGTAATTAGTTCCTGCGGACTGGATTAGGGGCAGGGAGAGCAGTGCAGGCGCGGGATAGGGGGGCGGGGGTCAGTAAGTAAGGAAGGTGGGTGTCAAAGAGGATGGGAGCAGAAAAACGGGACTTAACACATCGAGACAACATATTAGAGAAAGAAATGCAGACAACAGCCACCGTGAGAGAGTTTATGGGACGTCATTACGTCCTATTTAGAAGGGCATTTGCATGAGCGAGAGGAGAGAGTGACATATGTGAGGAAGGGCGTTGGAGAGCAAACAGAAAAGCGGGAGGAAGAGGGGAGTGAGGGTAGAATGAGCGGAAAAAGGGGCAATCAAAGCGGGTTTTCCTTCCCACCACCACCAACTGCAAAGCACTTTAACTAAGTGAGGGAGGAAGTTGCTCACTTCGTTTGAGAAGATTCGTAACGTCGCCTCCGGGTATGTACTCATACACGAGAAGCGGACTCTGTTGCACGTCAAACGCCACGCCTTGCAACTTCACAATGTTGGAATGTTTCAGCGCTGACATGGCTGCCACCTCAGCCTGAGAATATGGAACAAAAATATCAGAGGCATGATTGAGCTGGACAGGAGAGGAGCGTAGGAACAAAACTCGCTTCATGGTTCCTGTTTTGTTTGTTCTGTGAATTTAGAATCAAGGTAAAACTTCTCCTTTTCCTTCTCTGGTCCGACCACAACAATAAACACTCCGTACGCGCTACAGCACTCACCTTGAAGGACTTGAGCTCTTGATCAATAAATTGCTCGTCTTTCATCATTTTCACTGCCACGTCACACTCCCTCATCGCGCCGTCGTCCGCAGGCAGCACCATCCGCCCGCGGTACACCGTTCCGAACCCCCCCTCCCCTATGACGCGCGCGGGCGCAAACCCCTCCGTCGCTGCGTGCAGCTCCGCGTAACTGAACTCGCGGAACGTAGGGGAGGCGGCGGGCGTCCGGCTGGGGGCGGCGGGCGTCCTGCTGGGCGCGGCGGAGTCGCGCGCGGCGCCTGTATTTGCGCCGGCGGCAGCGGGGGGGGCATTGTCTCGGCTGGCAGGGGAGCGAGAGCACGAAGGCTCTCTGATGGGAGCGGGTGGGGCGCGCACCGTTGGGTTTTCCGCCGGGGATTGAGCAAGCGGGGGGGGAGGATTAAGGGGAACGACTTCGGAAGGCTGCATGATGCCCCGCGGCGGGCGGAGGAGCGGCGCGGATTGGTATGCGCGGTGTTCGGCAACGGACGACGGCGTATACGCCGGGATGAGAAGCGGCGCGCCGGCGGTTTCGGCCCGTTGAGCGGAAGCGGCGCCTGTGCGGAGCAAAGATAGTATGGGGAGCGGAGGTGGAAAAAACAGCAGAGGGGAAATGAGTTACAGTGGCGGATTCAGGGGAGATTGTGAAAGACGGAAATGGAAGAAACACCCTAGAAATTCTGACTGGACTCCAAGTTCAGTTTTGAGTCGACACGGAAATGGAAGAACTTCAGTGCGAGGCGGAAATGGAAGAAGTATGAGCGGCGGCTCGGATGGAAATCTCTGAGCACGAAGGAATATGAGCCTTCGACGTTAAATCAAACGACTGGCAGTCGGCCAACAATCGAAAGTCCGTTTCCGCGATGAGGACTCAACCACTTGAACGATCCCTCAACCACTGGCACTTGAACTCACCATTATCCACGATGACTCACCATTATCCGTCACTTTCGCAGGCCGCGCCTCCGTACGGAGAGAAAGATCGACATTTGTACCCAGGCAACATTTCGGCGACGTCGCCGCGAATCACCTCATCACCTCCGTCGCCTCTCGTAGTCATTTATTCCGTCAGATTAACCTCCGGCTCACTTTTCACAGGCTGCGCCTTTCCGTCGCCGCGAATTACCTCGACAGAACTTTCTGTCAGATTAGCCTCTGGCCTACCTTTCACAGGCCGCGCCTTTCCGTCGCCGCGAATAACCTCGTTAGAACTCATAACGTCAAATTAACCTCTGGTCGGCGGGAATCACAGGCCGCGCGTTTCCGTCGCCGCGCACCTCGACAGAACTTTCTGTCAGATTAGCCTCTGGCTCACCTTTCACAGGCCGCGCCTTTCCTTTGTTGCGAAAGCAACTGAAGAAATTGCCCATGGCGGCGTGACATAGGAGATTTGAACGCGGCGCGGGCAGGCTGCTTGCGACTGAGGCTTTGATTCGCTGGCGACAGCGGTCTTTGAGGCGTTTAAACAGATGATACAGTGAAAGAAGCGAGTTTCAACGCGCAAGCAGCCTGCTTGCTGAAATTCTGATTTGCTGGCTGCAGCGCGGGTTATTTGAGGCGCCTCGAATCGAACGCTGAATGCAGTGAATGCAGCGAGTTGAACGAGCAAGCAGACTCTGATTCGCTGGCGACAATGGTTGTCGCCGACGTGTCTCGTCAAACGACTTCTCGCGCGACCGGGCAACACCTGAAGCAGCGAGGAGCTGCCGCCAGCGGCCACTTCTTCTAACGCCAGTCGGCACTCGAGAGTTTCTAACTCGAGTCAGGAAATTAGCTTGAGTGAGTGTGAGAGGCGAAGGGGAATCTGTTTTGCCTTAGAGGATTGGGTTGGGCTGGGCCGACAGGGGAGGAATCGGAATAATTGGGGCGGGGGAAGCGGAAGGGGAAGGGGAAGGGGGAGAGGATGGCGGCGAAGGGCTCTTCCCTGCAGTTGCTTCAATTCCGAGTCGCACGCGAAGGGCTTTCGATTGAGGGTGTGAGGGGCCTTTTTATTGGCTATTCTCAACCAAGTCGCATGTGAAAGCGAATTGGGGTGAGGGCTGAGAATTTCCGTGCACGGCCGGTACATGTTTTCGTAATGGGAAGGGAAGAGTGTGGGTGTGAGTGGAGGAAAAGAGCGAGGAAGACCCCTGGCCACAACTTTGATTGTGGTGTGAGTGGCGGGAAGGGAGTGGGGGAAGAGGGGGAATTCGCCTGATGCAATTGCGGGCAGATTTCAAAGGTGTGTTTCAGTGTGGTTTGGTGCGTTTTCGTGTGGTTTGGTGCGTGCATTGTCAATTCACTCAGGTCTTGCTCGACAGTTGTAGCAATCGTCAGACAACTGCCGCCTTTTTCCATCCAATTTCCTCGTCCCACCACCAGCACCATCAATTTCACGCACCGCGGAAAAAAAAAACAAATCTCTCCCTTCCCTGATTCGCTCGCTCGCGCGTGACCAATCAAAACGCTCGTCACACCCCGTCCCTCCTATTCCGCACATCCGCGTGCGAGTCCGACTCAATCAACGCACGGCATTGAACTGGAAGCCCTTCCCCCTCTCCCCCTAAGGGCGGGTCCGAAAAGTATGTACTCGCAACAATATCCTACCCAACCAGTTTGATTCTTTAATTAATGACTTGGGACTGTCGAAAAACGTACTCAACCGCATTCCGACGTACACTTTCGACACACTCTAATCCCCAGCCCCGATTCCTTTCCCTCCCATCACTCCAGCCCAGCCCAGCCCAATCCCGTCAGTTCAGCACAAACAATTTATCACTTCCCTCTGAAGCTCATATCGTCATTTGAGTTTGAAAATCAAAGCACCAAGAGAAGTAGCAGCTGGCGGCAGCTCCTTAGTGCTTCAGAAGCCGCTGAGGCGTGAGAACGAGTTACACGTTGACGACAAGCGCTGTCGCCAGCGAAAACAAAGTCTCAGCCTTAAACAGGCCCTATTTAAATATTTGGCGTTCAAAAATTTGGCCTGAGGCTGCTTGCGCCGAGGCGTTCAACTCGCGTCCTTCACTGCAGCCATGGGCAATTGCGTCAGCTGTTTCCGCGGCGACGGAGAGGCTCGTGCAGTGAAAGCGACAGGTGAGTCATAGTTATTTAGGTGATTCGCGTCCCGGACTTCGACTGCCACTGCCACAGTTGAGATATTTCTTCCATTTCCGCTTCAACTCGTTTCCCCTCTGCTGCTTTCAAGCTTCCATCCCTTCGTTCCCTTTTGTCGCTCCGCACAGGCGCCGCCGCTTCCGCTCAGCAGGCCGAAACCGCCGGCGCGCCCGAGCTGTCAAACACGCCGTCCTCCGTTGCGGAACACCTGGGAATGCCAATCTGCACCTCCGTTCCGTCCCCACTACTACTAATTGCCCAGCACAGGCGCCGCTTCCGCTCAGCAGACCGAAACCGCTGGCGCGCCCCAGTCATACACGCCGTCCTCCATAGCGGACCACCGCGCATACCAATCCGCGCCTCCCGTTTCCCGCTCCTTCCCCTCCCCTCCCCCCCTGGTATCACCCTGAACAGGTGCCGCTTTCGCACAACAGACGGACGGCGCGCCCCAACTGTCGTATTCACCGTCCTCCGTTGCGGACCACCGCGCATACCAATCCGCGCCGCTCCTCCGCCCGCGGAGCCTCCACCCTTCCGAAGTGGTTCCGGTCGACCCTTCCCCCTCCCCGCCGCCGGCGCCTCAGGCGGAAGAACTACCGCGCGCCCCAGCCGCCTCATCCGGAGAGTCCCGCAGCCCTTACGACGACTCATCGAGCTCCGCCGCAGCCAATCACGACCCTTCGAGTTCCGCCGCAGCAGCAGCCGCGGCCTATTACGACCCTTTGAATTCCGCAGCCTACTATAACTCGAGCTTCGACCCCCAAGCCTACCGCGCCGCGTCGGACTCGTCAAGCTTTTCCGCCGCGCCCCCCGCGCAACAGCCGCCGCCGCCGGCGGCGCCGCTTCTCCCCGCCAGTTCCTCCGCCGAGTCCTCTCTCCCCGCGCAGATTTCCGCCATGGGCTCTGCCCGCGACTCCGCCTCCGCGCGGACGTCCGCCGGCCTCCCTCCGCTCCGCGAGTTCAGCTACGCGGAGCTGCGCGCGGCGACGGGGGGGTTTTCAGACTTATTGGGGGAAGGGGGGTTCGGACAGGTGTACCGCGGGCGGATGGTGCTGCCGCAGGCCGCGGGCCGGCGGCGCGATGGGGGTGCGTGACGTGGCAGTCAAAGTGACGAATGGCAGACAATTCACCGAGAGATACATGAGGTGCTTCGAGGTGAGTGCTCTAGTGTGTAGACGGGCAGCCCGGGGTATGATAGCTGTGGTGGCCGAACCTAAGCTGCTTTTGAGTCGACTCCGAGTCGAAAAGCTTCGTGGTAAATGTTCTAGTGCGTAGACGGGCAGCCCGGGGTATGCTAGCTGTGGTGGCCAAAACTTTTTGAAGAAGAAGAAACAATGTTGAAAATTACTGAACTTCTTTTGGCGAGAAGAAAAGGAACCATGTAGCAAACACGCGCTAGCCTCAAAATCCGTGCCGTTCCTTCCCCTCTTTGCGTTGGTGTCCAAACAAATGTGCTTCGTTTGCGTTCCGAAATTTCAGGCTGAGGTGGAAGCCATGTCAGCACTGAATCACCCCAACATTCTGAGGCTCGAAGGCGTGGCTATGGACATGGAGCAAAGGCCAATTCTCGTGTATGAGCTCATCCCTGGAGGCAATGTCAAGAATCTTCTAGCACGAGGTGAGAAGAGTCCCCTTTTCTCACCCCTTCATGTATCTTACCCCTCCTCTTCTCATGTATGAGCTTATTCCTGGAGGCGACGTAAAAAAACTTTTCTTACTAGGTGAGAAGAGTCCCCTCTCATGTTGTTCAACTGTTTTGCAGTTGGTGGCTTGGGGGAGGGAGGGGAGAATGTCACAATAAGCGGATCTGGTGTATGAGCTAAACCCACCTTAATCCCCCCTCCCTCCTCAACCCCCTTCACCCCCTCTCCCTCGCCGCCCCCCATCCACCCAGTTTGACCCTCACGTTTGTCCTCACATATCTTCTCTCCTCTCGTTGGTACTGCTGCACTTGCTTGATAGGCCGTAATGACCGTCATTGGAAATTCCAGGCCTTCAAATGCCAGGCCTTGAAATGCCAGGCCTTGAAATGCCAGGCCTTGAAATGCCAGGCCTTCAAATGCCAGGCCTTCAAATGCCAGGCCTTGAAATGCCAGGCCTTCAAATGCCAGGCCTTCAAATGCCAGGCCTTTAAATGCCAGGCCTTCAAATGCCAGGCCTTCAAATGCCAGGCCTTCAAATGCCAGGCCTTCAAATGCCAGGCCTTCAAATGCCAGGCCTTCAAATGCCAGGCCTTCAAATGCCAGGCCTTCAAATGCCAGGCCTTCAAATGCCAGGCCTTCAAATGCCAGGCCTTTAAATGCCAGGCCTTTAAATGCCAGGCCTTCAAATGCCAGGCCTTCAAATGCCAGGCCTTCAAATGCCAGGCCTTCAAATGTCAGGCCTTGAAACGCCAGGCCTGTCTGCCCACGCTTGTCAGCTGCTGCTAGCATTGCTTCTCTCCCACGTTGTCTCGACATGCGAGGTCTCATCTTCTTGCTCCTACCCTCTCGCTCCCCCTCCCCCCCATTCCTTCCGCTCTCCCCTTCGCATTCCCCCATCCAGTCCGCAGGAACGAAGCACGTTTTTCGTGGAAGAATCGTGTGAAGGTTGCGCTGGGGTGTGCTGAGGCGCTAGCTGTCATTCACCAAAACAGGTTCATTCACCGCGATTTCAAGTCGTCAAACGTGCTTCTGCGAGAGGTATGGCGGGTTCAAAGAGTTCAGCCTGTGATTCCCATGTCTATTGTATGTGTGTATTCTCTCGTCTTGCTTTATTGTTCTTCGTTTCCCGATTATGTTGTGCTAACCTTTTTTTCAGCTAGAATGTGTCCAATCCAGCTACATACTGCATTCATTTCAGCAGATCCTGTGATGTCTCATCATCTCGATTCACATCTCATTTGGTTTACTTTTCACATTATTTTCATATCCCAATTCTCTCCAACTGTAACATGTAACCACAGGATTTCACTCCAGTGTTGGCCGACTTTGGTTTGGCTCGCACCATTGAGGACTGGAGAACACACGTGTCAACAGCACCAGTCGGCTCTCTCGGCTACATCGACCCAACCTATTGGCAGACAGGCCAACTAAGCCAGCAGTCTGACACATATGCGTTCGGCGTGTTCCTTTTGGAGTTGATTTTTGGATATGCACCACTCGATAAAAGGTATCAAGAGCTGCAGAGGAAGGTCAGCCCAAGAGATTTTAGCGACGCTTCCTCGGTTACTGACCCAACTATCCAGCGGGAGTGGGAAACGGGGCATGTTCTTACAATGCTTGTTCTGGCTCGCTTCGCCACTCATCCCAGCTTGAGGGCTCGAATCAATATGGACCGAATAGTCGCAGAGCTTGCACAAATCTGGGGCGCAATTTCGGCCGGCAATTGTAGCTAGATGTGTTGTCTAGGATATGGTGAGTTGCTGATGAAAATTGAGGTTCAGTCTGATGTACCTTATTGATGTTGCTCCTAACATCATTACCATTTGGGATGGTTTTAATCAACCCATCATACTCTGTGCTCCTAACTATACTTGTCATCCTACATTTCGCTCCAAAGTGCCCGGAGGCTTACAGCGATGCCACTGATTGGAGGCCGTTCCGTTGGGTAAAAGTTAAGGGCAGAGCGAGCCAGAGCAATTATTCGAAGAACATGCTCCACTTCCCATTCCCCTTCCATGGTCGGATCTGTAACCAAAGAAGGGTTATCAAAATCCTTGGGGCCGACCACAATCTTCAGCTTTTGATACAGTGCGAGCGTGGGGTTGTAGCCGAAAATGAGCTCCAGAAGAAACGCACCAAACGCGTATATGTCAAATTTCTGACTTATTTCGCCTGTCAAAAAGTAGTTTGGGTCGATGGAGCCAATCGCGCCGACCAGTGCTTCTGCTGACTCGTTACGTCTTTCCCAATCCTCAACATAACGAGTCAGACCAGTGCCGGCAACCACAGGGGTGAGATCCTGCGAGTTACACATTCCAGGCGGAACGAATTGGGACATAGAAATCATACAGCAAACAAATCTTGATGAGATGTAATGAGAGATCGCAATCTGGTGGTAAACCGAATGTAGGATACGGCTGGAGTGAACACGAGACAGGGTTAGCACAAGATAACCATAAAAGAAAGGGACACGCACGGCCAAACCTTAACCAGTACCTCTCGAAGGAACACCTTCGACGACTTAAAGTTGCAGTAAATGAACCCCTTGTCGTGAATGACAGCCAGTGCCTCGGCACACCCCAGCGCCACCTTCACACGATCCTTCCACGGAAACCGTGCTCCGTTCCTCCGGACTGGATGGGGGAAGGCGCGGGGGGGGGGAGGGGGAGCATTGAAAGCCCAGCTAGGGCCCCGGCACACCCCAGCACAACCTTCACACGGTCCTTCCACGGAAAACGTGCTCCGTTCCTGCGGACTGGATGGGGGAAGGCGAGGGGGGAGAGTGGGTGGAGGGGGAGTGGTAGAGGGGGAGGGATGGGGGGGAAGAGGGGCAGTGACTGAAGAGGAAAAGGGTTGGAGAGAGAGTAGGACGAATAAAATCGGACCTCACACGGGAGTGGAGCAGTGCTGACAGCATATGACGTGTGAGAGAGCAGTGGAGCAGAGGAGCGCGCGCTCACGCTGCAGGGCCATTAACGCAAATTAGGTCAAGGACGCGAGATCATATATGCGAGGAAGAACATGGGAGGGCTGATTGGGTGGAGAGGGACGGGGATGGATCAGCTTATACACGAAAACTGAACATTCACCCTCCCCACCCCTCCTTCTCCCCTCCCAAACACCACCACCACAATGCCACCAACTACAGAACGACCAACCTCGTAGGAGAAGATCCTTGACGTCTCCTCCAGGGATCAGCTCATACACGAGAACCGGAAACTCACCCCCCACCCTTTCCCACCCCCTCCTCCCCCCCCCCCCCCCCCCCCCCCTCCAACCACCACCACAAAGCCACCAACTAGAGAACGACCAACCTCTTCGGAGAAGATCGCTGACGTCTCCTCCAGGGATCAGCTCATGCACGAGAACCGGCATCTGTTCCGTGTCAATCCCCATGCCTTCAAACCTCAGAATGTTGGGATGATTCACTGCTGACATGGCCGCCACCTCAGCCTGAAAACACGGACCAAATAAAGAGGCAGATGAAATTGGAAAAGTATGCATGGACTTCTTGGAGTGTAATTCTGGATGAATGCCAGAGGCTAGAAGTAATATGTAATCTCATCTCTTCTCGATTTAACGAACGCCTTTAGCTACTCACCCTAAAGCCATTATGACTTTAAATATATACTTGCCATGAAGCCAATTAGCTGTTGAGTCGTGAATGGTTCTCCTGTCGTCACTCTGACCGCCACATCGCACTCCCTCGTCTCGCCGTCGCCGCCTGCGACGTAACCAGCGGCAGCCGCGCTGCTTCCGCCGCCAGTGGCGCCGCTTCCGCCCGCAGGCAGCAGCATCCGCCCGCGGTACACCCTTGCATGCCCCCCTTCCGCCAGTGAGTCCGCGAATCCCCCCGTCGCCGCGTGCAGCTCTGCGAAGGTGAACTCGCCGGGTGGAGCGAGGGGGGAAACGGCGGCGCCTGCGCGGGGCGATGGGGGGCAACGGAGGAGCGGGAAGGGGAAAAAACAGGGGAAATATAGGGGAAATTTTATATTAGTTCCCGGACAAACTGGGGAGATTTTTTTAAGAGTTACAAAATGCATCGCTACAGTTTACTGAAAGGGTGTCTCAAAAACTGGCTTTCAACCCTATGGGATTCGTTGAAGAGAGTTGGGGCGAGGGACCCGCGATGCAGGCTACGTTGAACTTCTTTACAATCTCATTGCGGAAAGGGCGAAGTCGAAAACGTTTCTACGGAAAAGTCTCAGGAACACCACACGGAGCTTCCGGAAAATCACACGGGAAGGAAAATTCACGTTGACGCTACTTTCCTCCCTTTCCTTTTCCGCGACGCTATGTCATCATGCTTCCAAGCGTCTGACTTTCAGTCAAAACAACTGCGAGTGCAGTCTGCACAACAGTCAACTCTGGGTCGTGACGTGAATCACCTCAACGAGTCGGCGAGGTCGTTAACGTTAACCACCTATGACTCACCGCGGCGAAAGAGGTTTTTAAGCATGGCTGCAGGTAGTGAGTAGAAGGCGCAACCAACCTGCTTGCTGAGACTATGATTCTCTGGCGACAGCTGTGTTGGCGCCTCAAAAGATGACTACAATGACTGTAGCTAGTTCAACGCAAGCAAACAATGCGGTTTCTGAACTGTCGAAGAGATGCCGCCAGGTGCTACTAACTACTGATATCGGCGCGTTACTACGGTAGTCTAAAAACTCGAGCTGCAATGTGAGTTGTGGGCCGCCGCGCTGCCGCTTGGCTGCTACTTATGTGCTGGTAAGTTGTTGCAGTCCAGCCCCATGCCCAAAATGAGCTGAAGCGAGAATTTATTCTGAAATGTAAGTGGTTGTGCGGGGCTGAGAGGTTTGGGATGGGATTTGGGAGTGGAGTAAGGGCTCGTTCCCTGCAGCTGCTTCGGGTCCGACTTCCACACTAATGGGAAGGGCGGGTGTGTAGGAAATGTTTTATTGGCTACGCACGACCTAGGCGCATGAGCGAGCGAATTAGAGAGCGGTTACGAAATTCGCGAATCGAATTCAGACAACTAACGAACGAGCAAGAAGAAACCGTGAATTAGTCCAGTCCGGGTTACCACGACACCACGACGGTGAGGATGATAGGTCAAAGCAGGTGGGCATGAATGTGATACAGTAGTCAGGTCTCAGGTTCATTGCGTGTTGTTCTCGTTTCAAGTCAACGTCTAACGTCTTGCTCACGTTTCTGTTAGGGATGTGTAACAGAATAACATGGACACAAACAAAAACACTAAAGCGGAATAAAGCCTACAACTCACTGCAGATAATCCTAAGCTTGGTGGCAATGACCGACATTGGAGGCCTTTGCTCCCAATTGCAGCAAATGGCAAACCGAACTAGAGTGAAGAGAATAAAAGCATGCCTCCTCACCCACTCCCCTTCCACAGAAGGATCAATAACCAAGGAAGGTTCCGGTGGATCCTTGGAAATTACTAACTGCCTCAGCTCTTGATACTTCTCACTGAGGGGACTGCAGCTTGAGATAAGCTCCAATAAAAACACGCCGAACGCGAACGTGTCGGATTTTTGGCATAGTTGGCCCGTCTGGAGATATATCGGGTCGATGTAGCCCATCGAGCCGACCACTTTTGTTGACACGTGTGTCTTCCAGTCCTCTATTGTGCGAGCCAATCCAAAGTCAGCCACCACCGGAGTGAAATCCTGCGAGTCACACAAGTAGAAAAGAGAAGGGACATGTTAAGATTAGTTAAGAGATACGTAGGTAGATTTGGACAGCACGAATTGGTTAACTGTGATGTAAACATGTGAATCAAGCAACGCTATGGAGCGGAAAAATGGACAGCACAGCAGAACAGGAAACCGAACGTACAGAACACACATGTAGGTTAAGATCTCAACTCCATACCTCTCGCAGAAGCACATTTGACGACTTGAAATCGCGGTGAACGAACTTGTGCTCGTGAATGGTTGCTAGCGCCTCGGCACACCCCAGTGCCACCTTCATGCGATTCTCCCATGAGAAGTAAATATCATTCTTCTGGACTGAATGGGGGAAGGAGAGGGGGGGGTACGAGGGAGAGGGAGATTAGAGGCTGAACATGGGAGAGAAGAATGAACATGTGAGAGAGAACATGGAAGAGAGAAAAAAAAATAGGAGTGGGGCGCGAAGGGAGGGGAAGGAAAGGGAGTGGTTTCAAGGAGAAACAACTCACCTTGTTTGAGCAAGTTCCTGACATCGCCTCCAGGGATGAGCTCATACACGAGCATCGGCCCCTGGGATGTGTTTAGCGCCACGCCTTCCAGCCTTAGAATGTTGGGATGATTCACTGCTGACATGGCTTCCACCTCAGCCTGAAATCACGGAACAGATAAGAGGGAGTGTGGATTGGCAGGTAAGCAAGGAGTGGATGGATGGAAGGATGAATGGAATGCCTTGAGAGCTAGCACAGATGGCTGATATCTGCTTTAATTTGGTGAGAACTCCCACAAGTGATTTGCTTGTTCGCTCACCTTGAAGCTCGTCAAGTCACGAGTAGCACTCTTTCCATTCATCACTTTCACTGCCACGTCACATTCCCTCATCTCGCCGCATGCTGCGCCCATAGCAGCTCTGCTTCTTCCGCTTGTGGCGTAACTCCCGCCAGCGGTGCTCCTTCCGCCAGTGTCGCTGCTTCCGCCCGCAGGCAGCACCATCCGCCCTTGGTACACCTTTCCGAACCCCCCCTCCCCTATGGCGCGCGCAAACCCCCCCGTCGCCATGTGCAGATCCGCGAAGCTGAACTCGCGGAGCACAGGGAGGGCGGAGGGGGAAGCGGAGGAGTTTCTTCCGCGGGAAGACCCCGCGGAGCTGTTCGCGGACTGGCTGGCGGAAGACCCCGCGGAGATGTTTGCGGACTGGCTGGCGGAAGACCCCGCGGAGCTGTTTGCGGACTGGCTGGCGGAAGACCCCGCGGAGCTGCCCGCGGACTGGTTGGCGGAAGACCCCGCGGAGCTGCCCGCGGACTGGTTGGCTGAAGACCCCGCGGAGGTTATGGCGGGGGGAAGCGGTTCCGCTGATGAATTAGTGGCGGAAGCGGAAGCATGATATGCGGAGTCGTAGAAGGCATTTGCGCGAACACTGGGGCTGGCGGAAGGGGAGGCGGCGGAGCTGTTATTAGGGTTGGCGGAAGGGGAGGCGGCGGAGCTATTATTAGGGCTGGCGAAAGGGGAGGCGGCGGAGCCATAATTAGGGTTGGCGGAAGGGGAGGGGGGAAAGGAGGAGGCGGGGGGTGGAGTGAATGTGCTTCCGGGGACCTGAGCAGGCGGGGGGGAAGGGCTGACGGGAACGACGGCGGAAAAATGGTGGGGGGTCGCTCCGCGGATAGGCGCGGAATGGAATGGGCGGTAGGGCGACACGGGGGATGGCGTATACTGCGGAATGGTAGCCGCAGGGAACTGGCGCGCTTCGGTGGTTGCGTTAGGTTGAGCGGAAATGTCTGCGCGGGGCAACGGGGTTTCGGGTACGTTGGTAAGTCTGAACATTTGAGGAGCCTCAAGAGGGGTCAGAGAGGTCAACGGGGTCAGAAATGAGGTGGAAAGACAGTGGACTTCACTGACGAGGGGTAACATACATTTTGTAACACGCACGCGAAACAGGCTGACGGGCAACTTAGTGCTATTGCTGACATGCATTTGCTACTCACCGCCCGCATTAGTCACTTTCACCGGCGCCGCATGCGCGTCGTCGTTAGAAAAACCGCTGCTACAGCAGTTGCCCATGAATGCGGTGTAGAAATATCCGCGAGTTACAGAAAGTGGCTGAAAGTGGAGATGCCGAAAAGGCCGATAATAATGATAGTCGAAGCTGCGGAACGAAAACGTATGGCTGCGAAGTGAAGCTGAGTCGACACGAAAATATGTGGTTGCGAAGACCGTGTATACTGTCCGAGACAGCGAGGAGTTGCCAGGAGGCGCTGGTCGCGCGCGTAAGGACGGCAGGCGATGAATAGACAACTACTATACACTAAGAAGTTTATTGCGATTGCGAGAATATTTACACAAGAAGATCTGAGAGTTGCTGTGAGGAGTTGCCAGGCACTGCTATACACTGTGGACTGGAAGCAGAGTGCGAGAATATATGCTGGAGTAGATCTGAGGTGCTGTGGATAGCTGACGGCAGTGACGGGCATTCAGCCTCAAAGGGGGCATTAGTTGACTTCGGTCGAGTAGCGGATGCACATGCAGGTGCAGAACGATGTGCGTGGGTGCGAGAAACTTTAAGAAGAGGATACAGGGGTGGGGTGAGGTGGAACCGCCGAGGCTAGGAAGGTGGGAGGGAAGGTCGCTTTCCCTTGACATGCACTGGACGGGTGACGGGATGGTCAGGGAGGGGACAGAAAGGGATGAGAATGGACTTTTGAAAACATGGGAAACTGGTACCCATAATGGTGCACGAAGCGAGGCGGACAATATCGAAGTATATTGTCCGGACGAAATGATACAGATTTGGGTTGTTTGGCACTGACCACCACGACGCCGTTGACCTCGTTGATGAGGGCACACCAGAGAACCCAAACAGCACATTTTGAATGTCAACATAGAGCTTGGAATTCAAAAATTGTCCTGAAATATTCCAAGAAAACATTTCTCAAAATCCTTTTACAGAAATTCGTTGAAGACCAGCAGCATGGGTGCACCTCACTCATCTAGAACACTGTATTTGCCACCTCCTGTTCCAGGTGAAGTATGGAGGCTACAATGGATGATGTGGGTGTGTGTCACATAATAATGCCGAACATTATGAATTTCTCCCACTATCTAGAAACTGTACGTTTGCGCCTATGCATGCTCCTTCGTCTAGAATGATCCTCACTGCTCTTTCAAGAATTTCTTGCTTGACATCCACCACCTTCCTACCATCCTGCAAAAAGGAAAAAAAAAAAAACAAGACTTCAAAGTGAAAGCAATTCCAAAAACTACAAACACTCCCGGACCAATGCACATACCCAAGTCAGCTCATGGTACCGTGGGGGAGGGGGTGGCGGGCAGGGGGGGTTAGGTGATGGTGTGCAACAGACTTATGGGTGCAACATGATACTTGACCATGTCATGGGGTAATCGTGTCAAGAAAATGACATTGCGAACATTGATTGCTGCATGCCACATCTTGAGAATTCTCAAAATTGGATGCCGCATGCCACACTAATTGTTACATGTGCGACTGATTGCTCACATTGATTGCCATGTGCCACGTTTGACAACTAAGCGCATTAGCCCATGCAAGAAAAAAATAAACACCTGAACTCTCACCTGAGGTTTCATTGAAGCCAACATGCCCACATGCAGACTATCCCCTTGTCTGACAACCAAGAGCAGCTAATGCAACAAAAACACCTGAACTCTCACCTGGGGGTTCAGCGAAGCCAACATGCCCACATGCAGGCTCGCCCCGCTGAGATCCTTCAGCACTGCGTGCGCGGGGCCCTGTGATTGGTCCACGTCAGCAAGCGCCCTCAGCATGCGGGTGATGCGGGACGTGATGCTTTGCACTCGCTCGATATCCTCTATTCGGAGCTCGAATGTGACTGCTACAGGGTAGCACTGGGCTCTCGAGAAGTTGGTGATCACCTGACAGAGGGTTGGTGGGAGTGGGAAGGCAGGAATGGGGTTACGTGGATCGTGTGGTTATGGCTTGAACCCGCTCGATATCCTCTATTCTGAGCTCGAATGTGACAGCTACGAGGTAGCCTGGGCTCACGAGAAGTTGGTAATTACCTGGCAGATTAAGGGGGGAATGGGGGTTTTATGTGTATGGTGTCGTGATGGCTTGCACTTGCTCGATATCCTCTATTCTGAGCTCGAATGTGACAGCTAAGGGATAGCACTGGACGCGGGAGAAGTTGGTGATCACCTGGGAGGGTGAATGGGTCAGCTGGAATGGGCCAGCAAGATTGGGGTTATGTGTGTGGGTTATGGCTTGCACTCGCGTGATATTCTCTATGTGGAGGTCAAACGTGACTGCTAAAGGGTAGCACTGGGCGTGGGAGAAGTTGGTGACCACCTTGTTGGTTGGGTGAATGGGCGGGCGGGAATGGGGTTATGTGTATGGTGATGCCTCGCACTCACACGATATCCACTATTCGGAGCTAAAGTGTGACTGCTAATGGGTAGCACTGGGATTGGAAGAAAATGGTGGTTACCTGGCAGGGTTGGTGGGAATGGACGAGGCATGTGTGGCGGGTGGCAGGGTCGGGAGTGGAAATACTAGGGTGATACAATGATATGTATGGATATGGCTTGCAAATCGCGATTGCACAACGTCCCTCGGTCCAATCCAGCACATGAAGAGATGTGACTGGATTGGATCGCACCCCGTGACGCACTGAAGGCGTGCCTGGTGCAAGCTCAACATAGATGCACTTACATACTCATTACAGGCGCACTCACTGCAGTGTTGAAGATCTGATTGGGTACACCAACAAGCGGCTTGTTTGCTCCAGCCAGCTTGGTGTGAAGAGACCCAATCTCCTCCACCCGCCCCGATATGCCCCCACTGCTTATTTGATTCATTCTCTGTCCCTGACGTACCCGTTATAGGCGCACTCACTGCAGTGTTGAAGATTTGATTTGGCACCACCACTGGCGCCTTGTTTGCTCCAGCCAGCTTGGTGTGTAAAAACCCAATCTCCTCCACGCGCCCCGATATGGCCCCTGCTTGAATGCTCTCCCCCACCACGAATGGCTGTGAGATCACCAGCACCAGCCCGCCAAAGAAATTCGCGACTATTTCCTTGGAGGCGAATCCCATGGCGACACCTGGCGGTGGGGAGTTGGTTGGGGGGAGCTGGAAGGACAGGTCAAGCACCGTTCCCACCCCTATGAGGTCTCTCAGTCGCCCTCCTATACAATCACTCACTCACTCACTACTCTCCTTCCTGATAGAATTGGAGCTTAACTGATTGATTGATCAGGAAGGCACTAGGCCTTAAGTACAAACAAGGTTGGGTTGAGCAAAGCTAGGGAAATGATGGGATGGGAATCCTAGCAAATCTCCAATTGGTGGGTTGGCAGATTTGCAGGATTACGAGGGAATCCCAACCAGATAGGGTTGGGATTACAAATCTACACCCAACCCGCAAATAACCTAAACCATATACAATAGAGTACACAAAGTGTTGACAGCCTATTTCTAACACACCCCCTAGGCTGTAACACATCAGCCACAGGGAGGCCCAACACCCATGGCCGAGAGGAGGCGGTAATGGTCCTGGCGAACAAGTGACTTGGTGAACAAGTCAGCAAGGTTGTAGTCGGAGGCAATGTGGTCAGCCTTCAGCTGCTCGCGCTGCACGAGCTCACGAAGAAAGTAATGGCGGACCTCAATGTGCTTGGTGCGGCCGTGGAAGACTGGGTCCTTGGTGAGATGAATGGTGCTCTCGTTGTCACACCAAAGCGTGGGGGTTGGTTGAGGATACCCGAGTTCAGCCAGCAAGAAGGAGAGCCAACGGGCCTCTTGGGCGGCCATGGTCTCGGCATACAGCTCTGCCTCACATGTAGACAATGAGACGGAGGACGAACGAGTGGCGCGCCAACTCACAACCCCGCTGCCAATGGTAAAGCAATACCCCTCAGAAGAGCGCTGATCACTCTGGTCAGCAGTGTAGGAGGAGTCGCTGTATCCCTCAAGACGAACAGGGGAAGAGCCGCCAAGAGTGAGTACATAGTCCTGTGTGCCTTTGAGATAGCGAAGGACTCGCTTGGCGGCAGACCAGTGGTGGCGAGTAAAGCGACCAGGTGCAACGTAGCGTGACAGTACACTGACTGGGTAGGCCAAGTCTGGCCGAGTGCACATCCTCGCGTACATGAGGGATCCAACGAGCTCGGGGTATGCCTCGTCACAGGGCTCAGGTAAGGGAACAGAGGGCGCAGTGAGCTGGTGCTGCAGAGAGAGTGGGGTAGGCATTGATGTTGCGTCCTGCATCTTGAACCGTGTCAGGACGTTGTTGATGTAAAACTTCTGTGAGAGGGTGATGGTGCGGGCCGTGCGATCACGTGTGATTTCCATGCCCAAATAGTTCGTCAGCTTCCCAAGATCCTTCATAGCCAGCTTCTCACAAAGTGCGGTTTTGACTGCAGCCAACTCGGCCTGATCCTTGGTGACAAGGATCATGTCGTCGACATAAACTAGGATGAAGAAGCGGGATGGGGTTGCTCGGATGAAGAGGCTGGGGTCAGAGGTGGAGGGGTGAAAGTCGAGAGACCCTAAGGTGCTCTTGAGCTTGTTGTGCCATTCCCAGGGTGCTTGCTTGAGGCCATACACTGGCCGATTCAGCTTCCATATAGATGTCTGGTGGAAATGGGGCTGGAAATCCTTCGGGCCGCTCCATATAGATGTCTTCTCGAAGGACCCCTTGAAGAAACGCAGAAGACACATCCATGCTCTCAACCTCCATGTCATCTCGAGCGGCAACATCGAGAAGGGTGCGTAGTGTGGGAGGTTTGGCGGTGGGAGAGAAAGTTGCAAAGAAGTCAAGTCCTTCCTTTGAGGTAAATCCTTTGGCACAGTACCGGGCTTTGAAGACAGGAAATTCGCCTGGAAGTTGTTTCACCCGGAAAACCCATTTGCCCTTCACGATGTTGACGCCAGAGGGAGGAGAGACATATGTACAAGTTCCTGTGTGAATAAAGGCCTCACATTCTGCGAAAATGGCCCCTAGCCACTGGGCGGCGTGAGGACCTGAAACTGCTTCAGCATAAGTGAGAGGTGTGGGGATGGAAGGGTTGTCCGAGAAGTTGAGGGTGGGAGAGTCTGCTATATCTGGAAAGAGGGAGCAGAGCGCATGTATGGCTGAGTCGATGTCAATCAACTCCTCATGTCTGTCCTCAAGAAGGGAGGGCATGAGGGAATAATCACGAATGGAAAGGGAGAGAGGCTGGGGAGCTTTGTGAGAGCGAGTGCGACCAGCGATGGGTGAGGGAGGCGGTGCTAGAGGAGGAGTAGCGGTAGGGGAAGTGGGAGTGGGGTCAAGATCAGGAGCAGCAGCAGGAGGACGGCGTTGGTAGGTTATGAGAGGAATGGGCTCGGTGGGAGGAGTGGGAGCAAGAGCGGAAAGAGAGGAAAGAGGAGGAGATGGGGGAGGAGGGGCGGAGGAGGGAAGGAGCGGGGGAGACTGTGTGATACTGGAGGGGGAAGCGGGTGATGGGGGGTCGGAGATGGTGGAGGGAGCGGGAAGAGGAGGAGATGGATTGGCGATAGGAGGAAGACTGTCAAAGTCAGCCCAAGTAGGAGAAGGAGGCGGAGGAGAAGGGGAAGCCTTGGAGGAGGGGTAGAATGGGTGGGATTCATCGAAGAAAACATCTCGGCTGCGATAGAGTTTGTTGGTGGTAGGATGGAGGAAGAGGTAGTCTGGCGAGTCTGAGTTGTGCCCGAGGTACACGCACGTGATCGTTTTGGGAGCAAGTTTGCCGCCAGCTGCACGACGGGCTTGGGAGTTGAGGAGGACATACGAAGTGCACCCCCATACACGAAGAGGGCGGACGGACGGCTTTTGACCCGTCCACAACTCTGCGGGGGTGGTGTGGGTGTGGTGAGGATGAGGATGGAGATTGTGGAGGGCGGCAGCATGGAGCATGGCGTATCCCCAAAGAGATGGAGGGGCGGAAGCATGAGTGAGGAGGCAGCGAGCAATCTGCACCAAGATGCGGTTTCGGCTTTCAGCAACACCGTTCTGTTGAGAACTGTCTGGGAGAGTGAAGGTCTGACGAATACCCTCAGTAGAGCAGAAAGCTTTGAGAGTGTTGTTGCGGAATTCACCGCCACCGTCAGAGTGAAGAAACTTGATTTTGGTTTTGAATTGTGAATGAGCCTGCCGAGCCCATTCCATGATGATGGCTGGGGCCTCAGATTTGGCGGTGAGAAGGTGGACGTACACATAGCGGGAATAGTCATCAATGATGACAAGGAAGTAGAAGTGTCCGCCACGGGAACGAACAGGAGCTGGACCTCAAAGGTCCATGTGCACGCGATCGAGAGGTGCGGTGGAGATGGACTCGGTGGGAGGATGGGGCTGTTCACGAAGCTTGCTCTGTGCGCAGTCAAGGCAAGGCGGCCCTAGGTTGGAGGTAGGAGAGGGAAGTGAGGCTGGAAGTTCGTGGAGGAGCTGTTTTTTGGCAAGGTCTGAAAGTGGCGGAAGTTGATGTGGCAGAGGTGGTGATGGAAGAGCATGGTTTTGTCGGAAAGAAGACGGCAGTGACAGGTGGAGGAGTCTGAGGAAGAGAGCGGAAGGTGGGTGAGCGAGCACGTTTGAATGGGTGGTACAACGAGCGTGTAGAGGTTGTTGGAGTTGAGGGTGAAACGGGCTAGATGAATGCCGGTTTTGGCGTCAAAAAGGTCACAGTAGTCGACATCATTGGGAAAGATGGTGATCACTCCTACATGTTGGATTTCACACTGTGCAAGGAGGTTATAGCGGAGGGTTGGGGCGCAGATGCCAGTGACTGTGCCGGATGGGAAGGCTGGACAGGGAACTGTGGAGAAGCTAGAATCGGCTCCAAGGAGAGGGGTGGGAGCCTGGTAGGGAATGAATGCGGTTTGATCTTTGAGCACTGTGTGGGTGGCACCACTGTCTAGAACGAACTCGATCCCCTGTGTGTTTGAAACACCGATGTATTGCGACTCCTTCTTACTGATAATGACAGCACCAGAGAACAACATATTAAGGCGAACATCAGATGGGCGCTAGCAAATGCCTGGGCAGGTTCCTCCACTGCCTCGACCTGGTTCACGCGACGGGGTGGTGCCCAGTTGGGAGGGCGCTTGTCCTTGGAGATACCATGGACGTCATACCACTCGTCATCTCGCTTCTTGAAGCAAGTGGCCTCAGGGTGGTTGGTGCCGTTGCATTTCTGCCCCGCCCGTGGACCCTTCCTAATGATGTAGGGGCATGGGGGAAAGGAGTTGCGCCTCTGGCCCTGCTGAGAGCGAAATGGGATACCAGGGGAGTAGCGCGCAGCATTGACGGATGCTTGGGCGGCAAGGTCCTTTTCAGCAGAGAGAAGGGCCGATGCGACTTTCTCGAAAGTGAGTTCCTTGGTGGGGAGCTGCTTGAGCATGGAACTGGTAACGTTGTACGCCGGGGTAAGTCCTACGAGAAGCCCAGCTGCAGGTACCTGTTCGGTGAAGGTGATCCCAATCTCCTTGAGCTCCTCATGGATGTTGCGGATTTCAGAAACGTAGTCCGCCATGCCCGGACATTCCTCAAGACGGATTTGGAACATGCGAGGAATGAGGATTGCTACTCCCACTACAGTTTTGTCATGAAAGCGGTCCTGGAGGTACTTCCATATGTCATGCGCGGAGCGAAAGGTGCGGTAACATTTGACAAGCTCAACCGGAGTGGTGGTGATGAAGACCTTAATCACTGCTGCATCCGCCTGCTCCCACACACTGAAGTCAGTCTCATACTTGGTGGTCTTAGTGTCAAACGCACTCTTGGCTGTGGGAGTGGCTCCTTCGCCAAAAGGATCGGGAGGGAGAGGCATCTTTCCCTTGCCACGGTTGAGGAGGATGTCATTGAGGCAAATCCCCTTAAGCTCCGTGCTAAGGACGTGCTTCTCCACTCCGTAGCACCACTCCCCGAAGTTGGTGCTCGTGCCGTTGGGAGCAAGGTTAAGGATGATGAGGTTTCCTACGAGGGTGGAAGTTGAAGTCGCCATTTCGCGCGGAACGCAGCGCTTAAGTCTCGATACGTAGCGGAGCGAAGCGCGATTTCGGCAAAGGAAAGCCCGGATTCTGGTCTGCTGCTCTGCTTCGCCGATGCCCTCTGTTCTGCTTCGCTGCTGCCCCTTTTCCGCTTCTCTGCTGCGCCGCTGAACCTGTTCGGCTGCGCGGCTGGACCTGTTCTGCTGCGCCGCTGAACCTGTTCCGCTGCGCCGCTGAACCTGTTCCGCTGCGCCGCTGGACCTGTTCAGCTGCGCCGCTGAAACCTGTTCCGCTGCGCCGCTGGACCTGTTCCGCTGCTCGAAGTTGAGGTATTAAAAAAAACGTGAAATTCGAGAAACGAGAAAATCGTCACGGTAGAAAAATAATCCAGAACCTTACTTGAGAGAAATTGACGGCGGAAAGCGTCGCCGTTGAAATCGGGAGGCGTGAAGGCAGAATGCGAATGCACTCTTGACCGGCGCGAAGAAATGAAGGTTGAAAAACGCTTAAAGCGACGGGCAACTTTTGGCAGTGTTGGGTTCAGAAGTTTTTTTTTTGAACCAGGCTTGCCAGCGCGAAAGTGCTGGCTGGCGAAAACCAGGATTTCGTGCGGACACTTTCCATCCGCAGTAACAGTTCGCCAGGGTTCTGGGTTTTGGGTGGCAAATGTGCACCGTCGCTTTAAGCGAGGAAGCCGGAAATCGAAGGAGAAAGAGCCGAAAGGAAAAGAACCATCGCGACGCCAAGGATCGGATTCCGCATGAGCGGAGTTTACTAGCTCGATACCATGATAGAATTGGAGCTTAACTGATTGATTGATCAGGTTGGCACTAGGCTTTAAGTACAAACAAGGTTGGGTTGAGCAAAGCTAGGGAAATGATGGGATGTGAATCCTAGCAAATCTCCAATTGGTGGATTGGCAGATTTGCAGGATTACGAGGGAATCCCAACCAGATAGGGTTGGGATTACAAATCTACACCCAACCCGCAAATAACCTAAACCATATAAAATAGAGTACACAAAGTGTTGACAACCTATTTCTAACACTTCTCTCCCTCACTCCCAGTCCCTCACTTACTCCCTCGCACCTGAGATGCCGCCCACAGCCACCAGGGAGAGTAGGGAAACACCAAAAAGGTCCAGAACCGTGCCCACCCCCACAAGGTCACCCAGTGACCATTCACTCACTCACCCACTACTCTCACGCCCATTTCCGCACCTGAGATGCCGCCCTCCTGAGATGCCGCCCACCTGAGATGCCGCCCACCTGAGATGCCGCCCACCTGAGATGCCGCCCACCTGAGATGCCGCCCACCTGAGATGCCGCCCACAGCCACCAGAGAGAGGATGGACACGCCAAAGAGATCCAGCACCGTGCCCACTCACCCACTCACTCCCTCCCTCACTCCCTCCCTCACTCTATCCCCCACACCCTCGCACCTGAGATGCCGCCCACAGCCATCAGGGACAGCAGCGAGACACCAAAGAGGTCTTGCTGTTCTTCCTTGTGGTCGTGCCCCCCTTCACTAAACTTACTCACTTACCAACAAGGTTCTTCTGTCGCCCTTCACTATACCCCCTCACTCCCTCTCACCTGATATGCCGCCCACAGCCACCAGGGAGAGCAGCGAGACACCGAAGAGGTCCAGCACCGTGCCGACTCCCACAAGGTCTCTCAGTCACCCACTTACTCGCTCACTCACTCCTTACCTCACTCCCTCCGTCGCTCACTCCATCCCACCCACCTGAGATGCCGCCCACTGCCACCAGGGAGAGCAGCGAGACACCGAAGAGGTCCAGCACCGTGCCGACTCCCACGAGGTGGATGAGCAGCGAGAGGAAGCGACTGACGTTCAGCACGATGGGCTGGTGGGAGGGGGGCAGGGGAATGGAGTGAAACGTGGAAGGAGGGAACAGGGGCATGAGGGTCTAAACCAGTATAAGCAGGTCTAACAGCGTGCCCACCCCCACGAGGTGGATGAGCAGCGAGAGGAAACGACTCACGCTCAGCACGATGGGCTGGTGGTGGGAGGGAACGGGGGGGAGGGGGAATAGAGCGGCGGGAGGAGGTAGGTGAGAGGGAGGGCATGTAGGGAGGGGGTAGGTGGGGGGTGGCCGAAGGGAGTGGGGTGGGGGGTGGGGGATGGGCAGGGCTGGGCAAGTATCAGGCAGGTCTAGTAGCGTGCCCACCCCCGCCAGGTGGATGAGAAGAGAGAGGAACAACTCATGTTCAGCAAGATGGGCTGGTGGTGGGGAGGGAAATAGGAGCGGAAAGGATGCCTGTGATGCACCATTCGAATGACCCTGTCCTTCCACCCCACTGCAAAGCACGTCACCGCCACCACCACTGCCACTACCACTCCCACCATCTAAGCCAAACCACAACTCAAAAGGCACAAGGCCATACAACACTTTATACCTTTTCCGCTGGGTGCATCTGCAGCACCATCCGCATGACCCTGTCCTTCCACCCCACAACAAAGCACGTCACCGCCACCACCACTGACACCATTCTGGAGGAAGGGGCTCAGGTGAAGTTTCGCTAGCGGCAAGAGGAGACGCATGCTGCAAGGATGAAGCGGGAAGGAGGGGGGAAAGAGGGGAATAGGGAAAGAATGGGGGCACCAGCACAACTGAAACCATTCTGAGCATCCGGAGCAGGAAGGGGCTGAGGTGAAGCTTGGCTAGCGGCAAGAGGAGATGCATGCTTTAAGGAAGGGAGGGACGATGGAGAGAAGCAGAAAAGCAAGGGAAGGGAGACGCTTTACCACCACCACTGCCTCCACCACCGAAACCACTCTGAACCTCCAGGGAAGCACAAGCGGTCCCAGCCGATCACAAACGTTAATACGCGGTTAAAAACGGTTACACGAGAAACGAATCAGTGTCTGGTGAGGAAGAAAGAAGCTGCAAGGAGCTGCAGGGGGGGGATGAGAGCGCTTCCAAGCGGTTGCAAGTGGTTACGAGCGATAGCAGTGCGAGTGCTTTACTGTCTGGTGAGGAAGAAAGCAGCAGCAACGAACTACAGGGGGGGCACATGAGCGGTTACAAGCGGTTACAAGTGGTTGCGAACGATAACAGGACAGCAGCCTTACTGTCTGGTGAGGAAGAAAGCGGCAGCAACGAACTGCAGGGGAAGCACGAGAGCTCCGAACATGGAGTCCTGGAATCCCTCCTCTGTGACTCCATTGCCCCGCATGATGAAGGAGGCCCAGAGCCTGAAAAGGGAGGAGATAGTAGCAGGAGGGGGGAAATGGCAAGAGAGTCAAGAGGGCCAAACAATGAGTCGTGGACACTTTTTCTCCTCCGTGACTCCATCGTCTCTCATGATGAACATGGCCCACGCCACAGCCTGAGATGGAGGGAGAGTAATAGGCATGGGGGAGGGGAAGAGCAAGAGAGAGTTAAGAGACATTGTCATGTAAAAAAGCAATGAGACGACATTGCAATGAAAAAATCACACTGTAATGAGACGACATTGCAATGAATCAGTTAATGGTGAGTACCAGTTGAGGGCTCGGCAGGCATGGGGAGTGACAGCGAAGAAGGCGACGAGGGTGAGAAGCACAATCGACTCCCGCAGAGCAATCACAACCTGCCACGTGGCATGATATTCAGGGTCCACGTGGCATGAAAATTTAGGATCCACGTGGCATGAGATTGAGGGTCCACGAGGCATGTGATGTGAGGTTTGACCCATTATTGAAATGGAGCAGCCACCAATGACGTGCGGAGAAATGTGCTCGCATTAACAGCGCTGATCAGAATTTGCGATGTCTCAAACCCGACACTCACCAGCATCTCTGATCATTGTACAGCCCTGGTCACATAGGCCACACTCACCAGCGTCTCTGATCATTGTACAGCCCTGGTCACATAGGCCACACTCACCAGCGTCTCTGATCATTGTACAGCCCTGGTCACATATGCCACACTCACCAGCGTCTCTGATCGCTGCACGGCTGCAGTCACAAGGGCGGGCAACCATGCCAGCAGCCCCACGGACCGCTCCCCAGGAATGAGCACGTTGGAATAGAGTGTTCTGGCTGAGTTGTTGAGGAAATTATCTTCCAGCATGGGGGCACAGCAAGCAATGCACACATAGGCTGCACTTACCAGCATCTCTGATCGCTGCACAGCTGCTGTTACATAAGCCGGCAGCCACGCCAGCAGCCCCACGGACTGCTCCCCAGGCATGAGCACGTTGGAATAGAGTGTTCTGGCGGAGTTGTTGAGGAAGTTATCTTCCAGCATGGGCGCACAGCGCGACACACACTGCACCACCCGCACTGCCTTCCCTGCCACCGGTGCTGCTGCTCCTGCTGATGCTGCTGCTGCTGCTCTCTCAGCGGATCCTGCAAATACCGCAGCAGCAGCAGCAGCAGTAGCAGCAGCAGCAATCAGGCGAATGTCTGCCCTTGGTTTTCTTCTTGGGCTGGCTGGAGCTGCTCCTGCTGCTGCTTCTCTCAGCACTGCAGCAGCACCTGCGCCTGCCCCTACCGCTGCTGCTCGTGCTCCCTCAACAACCTCTGCGGATCCAGCAGCAGCAGCAGCAGCAGCAGCAGCAGCAGCAGCAGCAGCAGCAGCAGCAGCAGCAGCAGCAGCAGCGAAACTCACACGCACCCCTGTCCTTGCTCCTGGCCCTTGGGAGGCAGGGCTTGCTGCTCCGTGGGTTGCGCTGTGTGCTGCGCTGTGTATTGCTCCGTGGGGTAATGCTCGCACTGACCAAGAGCTGCCAGGGGGTGCTGGTGTGCATAATAACCCGCGCCTCCACTGCTGTGTGCTGCCGTTCATTGGCAATCTACGGCATACGCACGGCTGCGTTGTTCCATGGTTTGCTTCGTGGGATGCTTCTGGGGGAAGTAAGCGCAATGACCAAGAGATGGCGACGGGGGGAGGATTATTGGCGGCTTGCGCGCTGCGACAACAACGGGAAAGCGGCTTCATGTTGAGGGAGAAAGACGTCGTCATTGATGACGTGGCGGGTGGGTGCATATTACGTGGAAGGTGGGTGGCGATAACGAGGCGCTTGAGAATGCGATGCGTTACGACGATTGAGGAGCAATAAATTAGTGTAAAGTTGTACCAGATTCTAACTACATGCACCGTACATGCACTGCGAATTGGGTAAATATGAGTGTTAGATAAGCAGGTGGGATCGGGAGCTTCAGAGCATTGACACACGGTTCAGCGCAGCAGCAGTTTCATGTAATAATTGCGAACTGATCGGGAGCAGCTCATGTGCGAAACGCCGCTGGTGAATCATGGGACGACGGCTGCTGACGACGACAGACAAGGAAACCGCGTGGCGATCGTTCGACTCGACGGCAGCGAGCCATGAAATTGGTGCGAGGGAGTGAGTCAGGACTCAGGAGGACTCGTGAGTAAGAATTTTGGAACCTGGTACCTAGATTCTAGAACCTGCGAATGTGGAATATCGAAGCCCTGCTGCGGGTTCCACGAGGTTACAGCAGCGCGAATCTGGATTCTCTAAGCCGGATTCCTGAACGCCGGATTCCGGATTCTCTGGAGGGGATCAGGATTCAGGGAGCAGAAGTCAGGCAGCATAGGCAGCAATAGGACAATCTAGAGGGGATAGCGCAGCCAGTCCGGTGAGCTGCTGCAGGCCTGGCGGCAATCTCGAGGGGCACAGAGGAGCCTGATAATACAGTACAGTGGTGCCGTTGCTTTTGACTGTACTCTATACAAATTCATTTTCCGTTCTAATGAGTTGCACACTTGCCATCATCATAGGAGTTTATACAGTGTTTGAACGCCATAAGAAAATACTTCAGTACGCTGAAATGAAACCATCAACCCTCCAGTAGTTCTTATCCCCCTGCCCCAGCTACCCTTGCTTGCAGCATTCACCCTCTGTGCTCATTCCCCTCTGTCAAATAAAAGACAACTAAAAGACATGCCCGCAACCTCCCAACTGCCCAGTGCTCCCATCCCTCCATTCACCCTCACCAGTCGTCTCGCCCCCCCACCCCTCACTCGCACCCAATTTCCCCGATAAATGCCCACACTCATTTCCTCCTTCACACTTCGAATCTGCGCAGCGACTTCAGCCCCTGATTCAACTGGCATTGACCACGTCCTCCCTTTCCCCCTCCCTCTGCACGGCTCCGCTTCATCCTCTCTCTCTGCTGTTGCACAGGCCAGCGTCTCGCACCTGCTGCGCCCATCCTTCCCCAGCCGCCCCATCCGCCTCGTCCATCACTTCAGTCTGGGCAGCGTTCTAAGCCCCTGCTCCAGCTGCCAGTGCTTGTCAACACTGGACAGGTGTGCTTATCAACAGTGGGCAGGTGTGCTTATCAACAGTGGGCAGGTATGCTTATCAACATTGGACAGGTGTGCTTCTCCCAGTCTGCGCTCCTCCCGTGCGCCCCCCACCTCAGCACCCCTTGCTGCTGTTGCACGGGCCAGCCCCACAACCTCCCTCCCCTCCCCTCCCGTCCGCCCATCCTCCCCCAACCGCCCACGCCCGATTCTTCCTCACACCTTCAGTCTGGGCAGCGTCCTGAGTCCCTGCTCCAGCTGCCTGTGCGCCGCTGGCTCCCCCTGCCCTGCGCGCTCCCCCTGCCTCTGCGCGGGCGGGCAGATGGGCGCGCCCGCGGGCCGGCTGGGGAAGGCGGAAGGGGGGTACGCGGGGGGGCAACGCGGAGGGCCGTGCGGGGGGAAGTCTGGCGCATGGGGAGGGTGGTATGAAGGGGGGAAGGGCGGGGTGTGTGAGCGCGAGTGCGCGAGTTTCTGTAGGGGGAGCGGATGCGGGTAATGGTTGCTGTGAAAACGACGGTAATCCTGCTGTTGCTCCTGCTCCTGCTGCTGCTGATGCTGCTGCTGCGGCTGGTGCGGCTGCTGTGGCTGCTGTTCCCGATTCTGCTCCTGCTGCTGTTGCAGGTATTGCTGATATTGGTGACACTGCTGCTGATAGTACATCTGCTGCTGCTGCTGCTGGTGCTGCTGCTGCTGCTGCTGCTGCTCCCTGTGATGCTGGTAGTAACGGTGTTGCTGCGTCCCATCCCCCTCTGACCCGCACTGCTGCGGCCGAGAGTGCATGTTAGGGTGTGAGTGTGGCCGCGCCAGCATTCCAACCCCGTGCGCAGGGTAACCTGGGTAATTCGCGTAATTTCCCTCGCGCGACTCGAACGGCCCCATTTGAGGATAACATCCGTTATAGTCACCGTCGCGCATAAGACCGGCTCTCTCCGACTCCAACCCGTCAAAGCTTTTACGCCGCTCCGCTTCTCGCGGCGCATCTCGCGGCGCATCAAGCGGAGGAACCGCGTCTTCTAGCTCGGCGGGAGACGATACATAGGAGCGCGACCGCGTCGGGTGCGGGCGGTGGGCGGCTGAAACCACGTGGCGCGTTTCTCTCCGCTCGTCGCCGTGATTCGCGGGCGGCATCCGCGCCGTCGGTTCCGCCTCAGGTCGGTCGGTTCGAATCGGCGCGCTTGCCGGGCGAGAGCCAGTGAGCGACGGACGAGAGCCAGAGGAATGCGCGGCGCCGTGGGACGGGCGCGAGATGCGGTGTAGGCAGGGCGGGTCCATAAGCGACTCGCCGTTGCGAATGGGTTCCGCTTCCTCCGCCTGTTGCGCCAAGGCGGAGATGGAGGGAGGGGGGAGGTGGGGAGGGGGAATACGGGGGAAGGGGGAGATAGGGAGCGGGAAGACGGGGGAGGGGGGAGATGGGGGGAGAGGAAAGATGAGGAGAAAGGAAAGACGGGATTGGGGGAAGGAGAAGGGGAGACGAGGGAGGGGAAACACTGGGCAGCGGGAAGGTGATATACGAAAAGAATGAGGGATCGAGAGCTGATCGAAGTGGAGCCGTTTTGAAAACTCCGCATGGAAACGGCTGGAATGCGCATGGATGTGCGGGGACGGTGCGCGGGAAAGGACGGGGCAGAGCGGGGGAGGGAGGGGAACGGCGGGGGAGGTGCGGGAGAAAGAGAGACGGAGAAAGAGGAGAGGGAATGGGGAGAGACGGAGAGAGAGGGGGAGAAGGCGAACGGGTTCCGTGCAACACGGCCGCACTCGTCCGTAACTGCCTGCTTGGCACTGTTACGGGAGAGAGTACAATACCGTACGTCCACTACAGTAGCATAATTACGGGAGCTAGCTTTGGCAAGCCTCCTGGACCAGGGCAAACCAGCTTTCCACCTACCAAAGACCCCGTTATGAGCACTTTCAGCCTCAGAAGCTGGTTCGTAATTTGTCTCTTTGTGAGTGGTGACCACTGACCACGTCCTCTCCGAGGAGCAGCATTGGTCGAACGACTCTTGCCTAGATGCGCTTCCAGCCAGACCGTAGAGGTTGTGGTGGAGCCATCGGCAGCAACCGACATGTCGAAAACGACACTGTCTTGTACAGTGGTTTTTGGCCCAGAGGGCTTGTTGTGATTCGTTTGGCTGGACGGTGCAGGCATTTCCTTTCCAGCGTGAAACAAAAGGGGGAAGAATTTAGAAATTTGTATCCATATTTTGTAACTTGGGCCTGTGCTGAAGGATTCTAAATTGAGACTTTCGAGCGGAAAAGGGTGCAAGACGCAAGGTTCTGAAACTCTGAAAGCAACCCAACACGGGCTCTAGCTGGGTTTGCCATGAGTGCAGCCTTTCACTTCGTTCAAATCGCACGTAGGAGGCTGGTTTGGTCGTTGTGAGGTGAAGCTTTCTCATCAGGCATCCCCCAGCCGCTGACATGTGCTCCTCGACAGCTGGCTCGACGCGGAAACGAGCCTCTGTACAGTAGAATCGAACCTGGCTGACCTGGTTTGGGAACGTCGTACAGGGCAATTTGGCTCACGCCCTGAGCTGCAGTTGGTGAAGCCCAGCCCAGATTGGATGTGCGGAATCACCTGATGACTGAACGTTGGAGTACTAAGGGCGTATTCTATTTTGTGTGACGGGTCTGTTCCAAGCCACTGTTCGTGTCATCCGGAAACCACGCTCCTCATCCAAGGTTTTCGGATGACACGAACAGTAGCCTTGCACAGTGCCTATGACACAAACTGGGAATACGCCCGAAGAAGGTGGTCTAGCTTTGTTGTTATTTTTGCACCTTTGTTTACAGTGCTCTGCTAGAATGGGTGTCTTTAGCGCGTATGAATGGAAGCTGGTTGCGTGGGACTGGTAGAATGTCGCCTGCAAGTTGGTTACCAGCACTCTGCTCGCTGAAAATCCTTTCGCTGTCTGTCACTCTCTGGTGGGGAATCTCCCGCAGAATCTGAACAGAGATTTTGGATTGAGGAGTGACACACTCATCACACGTCACGTTTCTTATAGATTCACATTTCTCATACTATCACCCTTATCCAGTCTCCCCTCCAATAGGCACGACGAGTCCCTCACCTCCCGCCGTGCTTTCGAATTGCTTGTTCATTCGAAACCAATTTCAAGCTCTGAACGCCTCGGGAATACCGTGACACCTCGAGTCGGGCCGGGGAATCTGTGACTGTGACGCCAAGGAATACACGTAACATCACCGATAACTTCCTTCAGGCAACCAGATTCCGCCACAGTAGGTGTGTAAGTCCGCTATCAACGGCGAGAAGTCATTACGATCAATGCTGCCGCTGTCTTGCTGCACGCCACGCGTTTAGATGTCAACGCAAAAAAAAGGAGCTATACTGTCGTTTCCCCTGCCGGCGTACTATCGCATCACATTTTCACTTAGTCCTTGTAGCCTCTCGAGCTTGAGAAGCTGCAATGCTGCATTGCTTAGCGGAATGCACGAGGGTGTGATCGTGCCGTCGTTGCGCGTGAATTCGCTTGCTATCTAGGTTACCGTTCGGCTGGTTTGCGGACCAGAATCGTCGCTTGAATGCTTGTGTGACTTAGTCCGTGAGCTGACTTTCGTGGTACTATGGAAATTTATTGACGTCGCGACAGTACCCTTTCTTTCGTCGGCAGTTTTTTTTCCAAAAGTTCTCAGCGCGAATTAGGGGCTGCGGCGGGTTCTGCACACCCTGCTCCCTTAGAGTGTGACTGCAACGAATCGTTTTGTTGCTTCTCCGTCTTGTCTCTCGTAAAAAAATTGCTCATCAATCACTCATGCTCCAATGCGTCTCGTCCATACATTTCCTCCTCTTGCCACGTGGCGCAGCGCGACTACCTGACATGGCGTTCCCAGGATCCGCTGCAACGGCCAACACCAGAGCAGTCCTCCTTCCTGCTGCTGCCACGTGGCAGCACGTCAGCGTGACGTCAGCATCCAGCAGCACTCGAATCGCCACTGCATCTTTCACAAACGCCCTCAGTTTCCAACAAGACAGGAGGGGGAAATGTTCGAGGGGAGGACTAGAGAGTCACATAAGGCCACGGAGCCTGAGAAGGAATGGTGCTTTCCCAGGCCGGTTGGTAGGCGCGAGAGGGGAGAATGGGGGATGCGGTAGGGGAAGGAGGGGGGTTTGCGTGCGAGCGGATGGGACTGCAACGGGGACGAATGGCGTGACGACAAGTGGCAGCAGCGGATGGGAGGAGCGGCGAGAGGAGGAGATTGCTGCGGTGAGTGGAAAGAGGTGTCATTTCAGGTGATTGTTCAGGTGATTCTTCAGGCGATTGTTCAGGTGATGCTTCAGGTAGTACTTGACGAAGGTGAGCAGGAGAGGATTCAGGTTAGAATAAATGCATGTGACCACTATGTCTGAGGGTCGAGGCCACCCTACCCTTCTGGAGGCTGTATGCTAGTACTAATTCCCCCTCATTTCATTCATCCTTTCCACACCTCTATTCTCTCCGCCTTTTCCCCCTGACAGACGCTTTTTTGAGACGTTTCAAAATCCCTCTGGCCCACTCTTCTGGAAGATATGAAAGCCCTTCCCTGCCCGTGTACGATAATACACCCCGCCCTCTTTTTTCCCATCTGCACCCCTCTCTCCAGCTCGTGGATGAGGTAAACTCCATTCTTGCGCGCGAACATGCGTCCCTCCCCGTGGGCGAGTATCGAGGGGCGATGACACCATGCCTATCCTCTCCTCCTCCCCTAACCACCCTCACCCCCTCCTCACCCTCACTCCAGCTCGTGGAAGAGGTGAAGGCCATTCTGGCGCGCGACCATGCATCCCTCCCTGTGGGCGAGTATGGGCGGAATGATGACGCCATGTTCATCCTCTCCTCCTTCTCCCTAACCCACATTCTCCCCCTTCCCCCCTCTCTCCACCTGGGGGAGGAGGTGAAATCCATCTTGGCTCGCAACCATGCGTGTCTCTCCCCGTGGGCGAGTATGGGCGGGACGACGATATGCCATGCTCATCCCCTCCTCCCAAAGCCACTCCTCTCTTACCCCATGCAGCATCAGCCCGTGGAGGAGGTAAAGACTATTCTGGGTCGCGACCACGCGTGCCTCTTCGTGGGCGAGTATGGGCGGCACGGCACGATGACAGCATGCATATCCTCTCTTCCTTCTTCCCCTCACACCTCCCCGTCCCCCTCTCTCCAGCTGGTGGAGGAGGTGAAATCCATATTGGCTCGCGACCATGCGTCCCTCCCCGTGGGCGAGCATGGGCGGGGCAATGAAGCCATGTTCGTCCTCTCTCCCTTCTCCCCACCATTTTCCCCTTCTCCCTACCCCAGCTCGTGGAGGAGGTAAAATCCATCTTGGCTCGCGACCATGCGTCCCTCCCCGTGGGCGAGTACGGGCGGGACGACGACGCCATGCTGAGGTGGTTTCTTAAGGACCGCAAGTACAAGGTGGAACCCACGGTGGAGAAGCTTGCAAAAGCAATTGTAAGTGGTATAGTGCGGTGCAGTGCGGTGCAGTGCGTTGCAGCAGCAGCAGCAGCCACCAGCCATGCTGCGGTGGTTCCTCAAGGACCGCAAGTACAAGGTCGAGCCCACGGTGGAGAAACTCGTCAAAGCCATTGTGAGTGGGTGGGTTGTGTGCGGTGCAGTGCGTTGCGGGCCACGGATGCAGTTGTATATAGGCTCAAGTCAAATCACACCTGCTGACTCGCCCTTCATTTCTCCCCACCCCTTTCCTCGCCCTTTTGTTGTTTGCACCCCTTGTGATAGAAAATCAGCAAGAAAGCCACTTGTTGACTCGCCCTTCTCTTCTCCCCATCCCTTTCCGCCCATGCACCACCCATGCACCACCCATGCACCGCCCATGCACCCATTGCCATCATGCTCTGATCAGAAATGGCGCCACGAGTTTGGCGTGGCAGGGCTGACAGCTGCTGACGTGGCAGAGGAGGGGGCCACGGGGAAGGCTTTTCTCCACGAGTACGCTGACGTGGACGGGCGGCCCGTGATCGTTGTCGTGGCAGCGAAACACTTCCCGGACGTAAGTGATCTTAATGAATAAGTTCCTATTGCATACCTATCTAACTCAACCAGATTCATTTCTGCATCCAAACGTCCCTCACCCCTTCCATCTGCCTCCTCCCGCCTCGTACACAGCCAGCCAGCAGCTGTGCTCCCACCTTATTGAAAGAGCCATCGAGCGACAGACTCTTTCAATAAGGGCCATCGAGCCCTAAAAGAAACAGTCATTGTTGCCCCTCCCCCTCCCACCCACCTTCTCCCCTCCCCCACTTTCAACCCGCCAGTCATCCCGCCTCATATACAGCCAGCAGCAGCCAGAGAGGGCCTTGGAGCGACGATTGCCACTTATACTCTTGTTGACCCAGTCAAAACACCCCGTCTTACCGCCCCTCCCCGCCAGTGATCCCGCCTGGTGTACAGCCAGCAGCTGTGTGCGTACCTCATTGAAATGGCCATTGAGCGACTGCCAGAAGGGGAGGAGCAGTTCCGAGGGATATTTGATCTGCGGGGGTTCTCTGCATGCTAAGAACACCCCTCTTACATCCCCCAGCCAAACACCCCTCTCCCTGCTCCTATTTCCTCCCTCCTCCGCCCCCTTTCACCCCCTCCCCCCCTCCCTTTCCCCCGCTCCCCCCACCAGTCATCCCGGCTCGTGTACAGCCAGCAGCTGTGCGCCTACCTCATTGAAAGAGCCATCGAGCGACTGCCGGAGGGGGAGGAGCAATTCCGGGGGATATTCGACCTGCGAGGCTTCTCTGCCAAGAACACGGACCTGGCTTTCGTGAAGTTCATGGTGAGACTAGTTTGTGTGGAGGGGTGGGGAGGGGTGAATGCGTGGGAGGGAGGTTGGAAGGGAGTGGACAAGAGGGGGAGGGGGAGGAGCAGTATTGGGAGGGATATTCGACCTGCGAGGCTTCTCTGCTACGAATACAGACCTGGCGTTTGTGAAGTTCATGGTGAGGATTTGCATGGGGAAGGAGGGAGTTGCATGGGGAAGGAGGGAGTTGCATGGGGAAGGAGGGAGTTGCGTGGGGAAGGAGGGAGTTGCATGGGGAAGGAGGGAGTTGCATGGGGAAGGAGGGAGTTGCATGGGGAAGGAGGGAGTTGCGTGGGGAAGGAGGGAGTTGCATGGGGAAGGAGGGAGTTGCATGGGGAAGGAGGGAGTTGCATGGGGAAGGAGGGAGTTGCATGGGGAAGGAGGGAGTTGCATGGGGAAGGAGGGAGTTGCATGGGGAAGGAGGGAGTTGCATGGGGAAGGAGGGAGTTGCATGGGGAAGGAGGGAGTTGCATGGGGAGGGAGGGAGTTGCATGGGGAAGGAGGGAGTTGCATGGGGAAGGAGGGAGTTGCATGGGGAAGGAGGGAGTTGCGTGGGGAAGGAGGGAGTTGCATGGGGAAGGAGGAAGTTGCGTGGGGAAGGAGGGAGTTGCATGGGGAAAGAGGGAGTTGCATGGGGAAGGAGGGAGTTGCGTGGGGAAGGAGGGAGTTGCATGGGGAAGGAGGGAGTTGCGTGGGGAAGGAGGGAGTTGCATGGGGAAGGAGGGAGTTGCATGGGGAAGGAGGGAGTTGCGTGGGGAAGGAGGGAGTTGCATGGGGAAGGAGGGAGTTGCATGGGGAAGGAGGGAGTTGCATGGGGAAGGAGGGAGTTGCATGGGGAAGGAGGGAGTTGCATGGGGAAGGAGGGAGTTGCATGGGGAAGGAGGGAGTTGCATGGGGAAGGAGGGAGTTGCATGGGGAAGGAGGGAGTTGCATGGGGAAGGAGGGAGTTGCATGGGGAAGGAGGGAGTTGCATGGGGAAGGAGGGAGTTGCATGGGGAAGGAGGGAGTTGCATGGGGAAGGAGGGAGTTGCGTGGGGAAGGAGGGAGTTGCATGGGGAAGGAGGGAGTTGCATGGGGAAGGAGGGAGTTGCATGGGGAAGGAGGGAGTTGCATGGGGAAGGAGGGAGTTGCATGGGGAAGGAGGGAGTTGCATGGGGAAGGAGGGAGTTGCATGGGGAAGGAGGGAGTTGCATGGGGAAGGAGGGAGTTGCATGGGGAAGGAGGGAGTTGCATGGGGAAGGAGGGAGTTGCGTGGGGAAGGAGGGAGTTGCGTGGGGAAGGAGGGAGTTGCGTGGGGAAGGAGGGAGTTGCATGGGGAAGGAGGGAGTTGCATGGGGAAGGAGGGAGTTGCGTGGGGAAGGAGGGAGTTGCATGGGGAAGGAGGGAGTTGCATGGGGAAGGAGGGAGTTGCGTGGGGAAGGAGGGAGTTGCGTGGGGAAGGAGGGAGTTGCATGGGCGAGGGAGACTTTATAGGGGGGGAGGTCAATTTCCAAGGAATATTCAAGAACACTGACCTGGCGTTTGCCAAGTTCATGGTGAGAGAGTGTGCTTGGCAATGGAGGGCAATGCTTGGAGAGAGGGGGATATTCCACCTGCGGGGGTTCTCTGCTCAGAACACGGACCTGGCGTTTGTCAAGTTCATGGTGAGTGGGGGAAGAAGGGGGGGAGAAGGGTGCTTGGAGGGAGGGAATGCATGGGTGGGATGGGGGGGGGGGGGAGGAGATGGGTTTGCATGAGTGGGAGCATGCATGGGGGAACATGCGTGGGGTATGCATTGAGGAGAATGCATGGGGGAGCATGCATGGGGGGGAAATCAAAAAAATTCACCCTCTCTCCCCACTACCAACACTGTGAGTTCTCTTTCTATCTCCTTTTCACCCTCCCTTTCCAAACCAACACCGACCACTTGAATGTCTCTCAATTTCCGTGTCACCCTCTCCCTCCCCACTGTTTCCGTGTCACCCTCTCCCTCCCCACTGTTTCCGTGTCACCCTCTCCCTCCCCACTATTTCCTGTCGCAGATTGATGTCTTCTTCAACTATTACCCCAAGAGATTGAACCAGGTACGGTCAGAGAGACATTCGCAGGTGGGTTCCGATAAGACCTTTGAGGCGCCTTTCCTGTCGCAGATTGACGTCTTCTTCAACTATTATCCCAAGATTGAACCAGGTACGGCCAGAGAGACATTCGCAGGTGGGTTCCGATAAGACCTTTGAGGCGCCTTTCCTGTCGCAGATTGACGTCTTCTTCAACTATTATCCCAAGAGATTGAACCAGGTACGGTCAGAGAGACATTCGCAGGTGGGTTCCGATAAGACCTTTGAGGCGCCTTTCCTGTCGCAGATTGACGTCTTCTTCAACTATTATCCCAAGAGATTGAACCAGGTACGGTCAGAGAGACATTCGCAGGTGGGTTCCGATAAGACCTTTGAGGCGCCTTTCCTGTCGCAGATTGACGTCTTCTTCAACTATTATCCCAAGAGATTGAACCAGGTACGGTCAGAGAGACATTCGCAGGTGGGTTCCGATAAGACCTTTGAGGCGCCTTTCCTGTCGCAGATTGACGTCTTCTTCAACTATTATCCCAAGAGATTGAACCCGGTACGGTTCTTCAACAGTTCTTCAACATTCGCAGATGGGATCTGGTAAGTACGAGTTTTGAGACGTCTCAGAACTCGATGGGATCTGATAAGTACGGAGAGAATCAACCATCTGTTCTCTCCTCCGCACCATCACGATCCCAAGAGATTGCCCCAGGTAGGCACGTGAAGTGAGGGTGTTTTTGAGACGTCTCAAAAGCACCCTCTCCACACCATCACGATCCCAAGAGATTGCCCCAGGTAGGGCGAGACGCGACCTAATCTCATGTGTAAACTTGTAATCTTTTATATACTTCCTTTCTATGATCCCACGGTCTCCCTTTCGCTTCCATTCTCTGTCACTTTCTCGCTTTCTCTAGCTCATCACGTGAGCCGCTGTTGCTCCCAAACCCTCTTGCTCCCCACCCACACCTGCTTCCCCTCCCACCTGTTTCCCCAAAACCATGAAGCACTACTCTAGGTGCGCTGTGTGCAAGCGACTTCATTGTCCCTCTCTCTCACCACCCATTCTGCGCTCCCCAATTCATGCCACACCACTTGCCACACTGTTTGAACCCACCCCGCTTCCCACTCCCGGTGCTCTTTGTAAACACGCCCTTCATCTTCCATTCCTCTCCCTGCCCGTCCTGCGCCCCACACCACTTCCCACCACTTCCCAGACTGTCTGAACCCATCCTGATTGCCACCCCAGGTGCTCTTTGTGGAAGCACCCTTCATCTTCCAGCCGGGGTGGATTCGATTTTCCGGTCCTAAAACCCTCTCACCTGTTACCCTCTCACCTGTTGCCCTCTCACCTGTTTCTTTCTACTGAACTTGCACTATAACAGGTGCTCTTTGTGGACGCGCCCTTCATCTTCCAGCCGGGGTGGAAGGTCATGAAGCCTCTGCTTAAGTCGTACACCAACTTGGTGAGTCAACTTGAAATCTGCCTTAGGTTACGAAGCCGCTCTTGAAGCCACACATACACCAATCTGGTACCAGTGTTGTTGCAGTTGAGAGGTCCATCCCAACTATCCATTTGCTTCGCAACCACGTGTAACCGTTTGTGATAATGTGTGCTTGTGGTGGAAGAATTGTAAGCCTCCTCCTAATTGTCATCTCTTTCTCCCGCTTACCCCCCCCACCAGGTTGTCTTCTGCAAGGCCGAGGAGGTCAGAGACAATTATTTTCTGCCAGGCCAAGCACCTGAGTCGTATCTTTGAAGTCTCCTTGCTGTAATACGGTAGAGTAGTAGTATGATTAAAGTCTGGAAATGGTCATTTCGATAGGACACCAAGATAGTATGTATGCCAATCTGCCCAGTGCCCACGCCCAGAGAATGTTAGTGTATGGATTGAAGTAAACTAGAAACTACACCAACTAGTCAATTTTATTTTCAAACTTGGAATTCTGATTGAGAAGAACACGCTGCTCACAGTTTGGCAAACAGTAGGAATCATACATTCAGTGTAATTGCAAAAATTATTCGGATTCCTGAGGATGGAACCCAATTCTTCCAACCAAGCATTAGCTTATGTTCAACTATTAGTCCTAGAGTACGGTAGTATGTCAAATAATGGAATGTTCGAGCTCGAGCTGTGTTATGATCGCGTGGTCTGGTAGCACACGGTATTAGGCTTCGTTATGGCGTCGCTTCGGTAGCATGCGCAGCGCGATGTTTCGGCAGGTCTTTGCGGCTATTCGCGTCGAGCTTTGAATCGTCGCGAGAGGCGACGGGATGGGTGAGGTAACTCGTGGCGAAGAGTTTCGCGGCGGAGATTTACATACGTCGCCGTTGGATAGAGAGATTGAGCTTGGGCGATTGGCACCCCTCACCCACGGATGATTCAAAATCGCATCGACGGGGGGACGTGATCCAGGATCCCCGGACAGCATCGAACGGATGAGATTTTTCGCGGAATTTGACACTTCGGACCAGCACGGGAGGTTCCAATCGTCGCGCGACTGTCGTCCGCGAATAATCGTCGGCCATTCGCCTGCCAGCATGGAATACAGGGTAACCCCAAGGCTCCAAATATCCGCGGAGAAATCGTATTGATCTCTCGCGAGCACCTCAGGAGCGATGTAGGGAAGGCTCCCGACGCACGCCTGGGATTTCTGTCCCGGCTTGAGAACCGTCGATGCGCCGAAATCGGACAGCTTAGCTGTAAAGGCCACGAAAGGCGGCGCGGTTTCGTGAAGTCCGGCGCCTTTTTCTTGAGATAACGATGAGGTTGTCACGTCTTCGCTTGATACGACTTCTCCTTTAGTGTCAATCTTCGCATCGTCCCATGACGTCAGCTTCGATCTGTTTTCGAACAGCAGTATATTTTCCGGCTTGATATCGCGATGCATTAACTCGCTCTCGTGACACTGCTTCACGCCGTGCACCACGTCGCGGAAAATCGACCGCGCCTCCCATTCAGGCAGACGTCCTTTCGCATTTATGTGTGTTACCAGATCGCCGCCTGTCGCGAGCTCCAAGAGCAAGATTAGGGTTTCGGTCTGAAGGTCGTGGAACAGCCCTTGGATGGCAACCACGTTGGGACAGCCTTTAAGCGTTGAGAGTGCGCCGATTTCTTGTAAGGCGGAATCGACGGCCGCATTGCCGACTGCTTGTTTACACGCGAACTCGTTATTGCCTTGTCGCTCTTGGCATCGCCACACGGTTCCGAACTTCCCGGCTCCCAGCTTCTCGTTGGCTTATTCGAAGTAGAAGTCGTCCAACGGTCGAATTGGCGACAGCATGCTGCAGGGTAGAATATTGAAAGTTTCTGCTGTGTGGAGGTGTTTTGTTTGACTGGAACGGTAACTTGAGATGAAAGTACTGCTTCTGGAAGAAACGAAGCTCATCTTTGTATATCCCACTGATTCTCGTGTTCGTTAGAGTTCAAGTGCTGCACTGGCAGAAGATTGTCACGCATGACTTGAGTTTGTTACACGTACATAGCTGCATCTGTAGCAGACTTGCCTAGCGATTCCTTTAGCGTGACAGCCGAATTTCTGCAGCCATTTTCGAAAAAAATCAAGATCGAGATAGCTGGGGTAGGGAGGGAAGGTAAGGCGGTTCGCCGCGTTTGTGAGGGGAGGGCATGAGGAACAAGGGGTGTGGGTGTATGGGTGTATGAGAGGTACACATGTGGCTCGGAAATCATGTGGTGGGTGACAATTGAAGGGTACCACAGATGATCCTCTCGACCTTAGCCATTCCTTGACACTGCACTGCATGGGCCCTCTCGTTACGAAATTGCTTGTTCCACCACGGGCCAACATCATAGACATGCAAATTAGTCTGGTAACCCTATCCAATGGTACACCTGGTCCGCGGTAAATTCACCGGCGGTATCTTCACCACGGTGGGGTGTTAGAGGAGCTGGGCAGAGAGTAAGAGGGCTGGCCTGGTATGTCTCTAGGTCTGGTATTTACGTTGGTTCGTTGGCGAGGGGCATTAAGAGGTGTGTTTAGTTGGCTGGGGAGAGGGAACGGGTTGAGTGGGGGCTGGTGTACATACCTTGGGGTAGCGTTGTGACCCGTGCCTGTTCTTGGATTTGATGGGTCAGCTGCGTTATTCTGGGTGGGAAGGGGAGGGATCGTCAGCATAAAAAACGCATGGGCATGCCAAAGGCAGCAGGGGCATAGTTGATGTTGAGCGGTGCCCCCGTACCCTCGGGAGGCCCGAAAGCCATTTGAGCTTGCGGTCCTTGAGCGACCTGCTGGGGAGGGGGAGTCGTGGATGCGTAAGTGTATGCCGGAGGTGCAGGTGCTGCTGGCATGACCGAACCAAGTTGGAGAAATCACGGGCCCTTTCTTTGATATTTTGGCTGGCGCCGTGAAGGGGATGTGCTCACTGGCGAGACACAAATCACGACTTCTTCATTAGGATTTTCTCGGCCAATCGCCACCGTCGATGCTTCTTCTTACATGACACTCGAAATTCAGCAATGCGGTAAAGAGCAAAGTGTTCGTTTTGCAGGGTACTGTCAGAACTTTCCATGTTGGACAGATATTTGGTGGTGAAAATAACGGCCCAAATTTTGAGCGCTTATCTTCACCACAGCCAGATAATCCAAAATCCTGCTACCCACTTTCACGCGGTGAAGATAGCGCGGACCAGGTGTATGCAAAACCGTCGATACCCTAGTTCTGCTGCGCAAGTTTGTCTGGTAGCGCCACTCAAAACACAGTGTAACAGCTGACGCAGCACAAAAAAGGAAGAGATATGAGATGTAATCGGTTGCGTTTTCAATTTCGTATCTTCGTGGTTCTTACCGCGCTCCGTTTGGCGCCTAACAAATATTCCTCCGGGCTACTATTTTCCACTAAATGTGCACGATACATTTACGAAAAATCCATTGGAATGAAATTATACGGGGTCCATTTTGTAGCAATATATTGCACCCAATATATTGCTACTTAAAAGTGTTAGGGCAGGGCTGAAAAACATTAAAACCCCTAGGGACCTGGACGCATTTCCGCGAGGGATCAACCCTAAACACGGGAAAGGACATTGTTTTTAGGGTTGATGCCTCCCTGACGCATCCCGTTCCGATTGGGTTTTATTTTTTTCTTGGCCCGAAGAAATCACGTCTTAGTGCGAAGGCAAGCGCG